ACTCATATAAACCTGAGTTTCTCAAGCAATGTTCTCCTGGATGTGTAGGACAAAGGATATATTGGTATGAATAGGTAGTAATTCTGAGCCTGTTCTGGAAGACCCCATTCCTCTGCAGAGTTCAGTAGGGCTCACGTACCCTCAGTGGTGGCCGTTAATGACCACTTCTGCCTGTGAGTGCTCCAGTTGCACTACTCTCACTTCTGGTTCCTGGTGCTTAGGACCACTGTCCCCTCTCCCTGTATTACCAGTTCCTATTGTTGTGGACATTAAGGAGTGAATTTGGTCAGGCAGCCTGTGCAAGTCAGCGTCCCAGAGGCAGGTCTACAGCTCTAGCGGGTCCAGTCCCAGTGGACCTTTCTGCTAATTGTGTGCAGCCTTTTCATTCTTGAATTACTGACCTGCAATAAAAAATGATGGCGCCCTTACCACATTCTAGCAAAAAGGTCAGCAGTCATTTATCAGTTCTGTGATCTTAACACTAGTTACCTTCTTTATAACTGAGCACAATAATGGTGAGTACCTCATAGGACTGTTGGGAGGATTAAATGAGATACTATGAAAAAAGCCTTAACCAGTGCCGGCGCTTTCTAGTGCTCAGTACATTTTAGATATTTAGTTGTAGTTACTGTTGTGGCTCCTACTATAATACTGACTTTGTTTGGTAATTCTTGGTATCTAACTCAATCAGCTTTTTCTCTTAAGTCAGTTTCTAGACTGATAGTTCTTTTTAAATACATCTGTTCTTTGTTTTCATAGTGACATGTATGTCCTCTGTATATTTTCTGTTCCCATTCAGTTTTGGGGTGAAATATGATAGCAGCATGAGGAGGTCCACTCTTGGTGTAAGTGAATAAGCTTATATTATCTGTTTCTTAACTTTACTCCTTAACTCTTTGTATTCTGTTACCTGCTTTCATAATTTGTCTGGAACTTCTTAAACCTCATTGGTAATTTCAAAGCCAAATTTCATTCATCATTTCTCAGATTTTGTTCTTACTAATATGTTGCACTACAGAAAAGGACTTAAATTTTTTTTTCTAATATTCACTTTTTTGTTTTGTTTTACAAATTTTCCCCTCCCCTCTTCCTTCCTTCCTTCCTTCCTTCCTTCCTTCCTTCCTTCCTTCCTTCCTTCCTTCCTTCCTTCCTTCTTTCTTTCCCTCCCTCCCTCCCTCCCTCCCTCCCTCCCTCCCTCCCTCCTTCCCTCCCTCCCTCCTTCCCTCCCTTGCTCCTTCTTCCTTCTTCTTCCTTCTTTTTGCTGCTTCTTGAGACAGGGTCTTACTATGTAGCCCGTGCTGACTCGAACTCCTGGGCTCGAGCAATCCTTCTGCCTTAACCTTCTGAGTAGTTAGACTACAGGTGTGCACCACCATGCCTGGCTTAGAAAAGGACTTTATGTTGAACCTCTTTTCTCTTACAATCAAATAATAAATTCATTGAGTCATACTACTAGCAAGTCACATTGCTTGGTGCGGGGGTAGAGGAATGGAATGATGACCAAAACACGGTCCCTGTCTTCAGTATCTTGAGATATTGAGCACTCAGGGAAAGAAAAACAGGGACAAAACTAACTCTAATCCAAAGTAAAATGTGTAGAGCACAAAGGAGAAGTAAATACCAAAACAAGGGGATGAAGAGAAAGCTTTCAAATCATAGTGGTAGTTACTGAAATAACTGTAGGAATTCCCAGGCTGCTTGGAGAATGTGCGAATGGGCATCTGCTTGGTCCCTTCAGAAAACTGCCAGTGTGACAGATGGGAGGGTGAAAAAGAGAAAAGCTAGAATCTGTTGGGGTTAAATTGGAGTTCATTTTGAAGGATTAAAAATAATTGAAATTCTGATATATTTTACCTGTATAGAAAGGGACAGGGAATAATATGAGAAACAGTAATAGTGGGGTGACCCATCATCCATATTTAATGTTTGTTAACATTTTGCCACAACTGCTCATATTGCTTTCTCTCTCTTTTTCAAATAAACTATTTTTAAGAACCTTTTAGATGCGGCAGTTTTTCAGACTTTCCTTGTTTTTGATAACCTTTACAATTTTGAGGAGTATCATATCCCTCTACAGTCCTTTTGGGTGTGGCAGTTTTTCAGACTTTCCTTGTTTTTGATAACCTTAACAATTTTGAGGAGTACCGGTCGATAATTTTTTAGACTATTGCTTAATTGAGATTTGTTTGATATTCTTCTAATGATTTTCTGGGATTATGAGTTTTTGGGAGGAAGACCACAGAGGTCAAGTGCCATTTTTGTCACGACATAGTATCAACTTGACTTGTCACTGTTAATATTGACCTTGATCCCCTGGCAGAGATAGTGTTGATCAGGTTTCTTCACTGTAAAGTTACCCTTTACTTCCTCATACTGTGCTCTTGGGAAGGAGTTCGCTTTGCTCAGGCCACACTTAGGGAATGAAGCTTTATTTCCTCTTGTGGAAATAAATGAGGAACATCTAAATGAGAACAAGTAAAGGCTATCTATTCAAAGCCTCCCATAGCAAAGGAGTTAGCCATCATCACTTGTGTTTGGCAGTTAGAGAAGTAGGAAAGCTTTATTGTAGAAAAAAGGGAAAGTGGCTGGGCGCGGTGGCTCACGCCTATAATCCCAGCACTTTGGGAGGCTGAGGCGGGCGGATCACCTGTGGTCAGGAGTTCGAGACCAGCCATGACCAACATGTGTCTACTAAAAACACAAAATTAGCCGGGTGTGTGGCGCATGCCTGTAATCCCAGCTATTCGGGAGGCTGAGGCAGGAGAATCGTTTGAACCTGGGAGGTGGAGGTTGCGGTGAGCTGAGATCACGCCATTGCACTCCAGCCTGGGCAACAAGAGCAAAACTTCATCTCAAAAAACAAAACAAAACAGAAAACAATAAAAGAAGGAAAGCTGTATTGTAGAAGAAAGGGAAAGTTCCAGGTAGGCCCTGTTTGGAGGCTGCTGACATGGAGAGGGTGGGACATCCTGTGTTACTGATTAGTGGTATATATTTTGCTTTCTTCAGCAAGTCTTAACTTAAAAGTTGGTACAGAAATTAGAGAAGCTGTTAGTTACTGGTCAAGTCCTGACTGTTGGGCTAATTGTTATATAAGTTTTGTGCTTAGTCAGTTGAGGCTACTCTGGACAAATAAACCATAGGGTTTGGTGGCTTCAACAACAAACATTTATTACTTACAGTTCTGGAGGCTGGGAAGTGCAAGATTAAGGGGCTGGAAGATCCTGTGTCTGGAGGTCTTGCTTCCTGGTTTGCAGATGGCCTTCTTCTCCTTGTGTCCTCACATGGAAGAGAGCAGAGAGAGGAAGCAAGCTTTCTCGTGTGTCTTCTTATAAGGGAACTAATCTCATTTATAGAGCACTCCATCATCATGACCTAATTACCTCCCAAAAACCCCACCTCCAGGTGCCATCACATTGGGGATTAGGCTTCAATGTATGAATTTTGGGGTGACACAAATATTCAGTCCATAGCATTGTGGTTTGGCTTTCTGGACTGGTTGTTGCAGGTTGTGAGTCAGAGTTCTATTTTTATATATGGTCTGGTCATTACCCATTTGTGTATTCACTCTTTCACCCACCTCAAAGGTAGTGTTCTATATCAATTATTTTGAATTCTTCTGCATGGGAGATTTGTCTCTTCTTTCCCATCTATTTATTTTTTATTTTTTGGAGGGACTGGTTCTTTATTTCAAAAAGACATTTGTCAGTATTCAGTATCAAAACAGTTGCGCTATTGATTTCTCTTTCTCTCAATTGGACCCAAAGAGACCACATCAAAGGAGAGTACATTTGAAGCCAGTAAACTGCAGGACGTACATCTAACAGACCTCCTGGAAACCTTACCAGGAAATGGGGAAACAGGCTTTAAAAGATCACTAAACTGCCAGCCCACGGACTGCAGAGGCTGTCACAGCTAGATGGGATGGCCAGGGTGCCACAAACCCAAAGAAACAAAGTTTCAAAATAATACAAAATTTAAAATTTTGTACATAAGCTGTTCAAGATTTCTCCAGCACTGACTGATACAAAGCACAATGAGATGGCACTTTTAGAGACAGCAGCTTCAAACCCAGAAAAGGGTAATGAGATGAGCTTCACATGGCTAAATCAATGGCAAAAACATCATCTTCTTTCTTTCAAGGAGGCAGGAAAGCAATTAAATGGTCACCTCAACGTAAGGGTCATGTGATCCATTCTGTAAGCAGTTGGGAGGGGTAGAGATGGGACAAAAATTTGGTCTCAGAGGTCTTACCATCTTAATTTGGTCACTTCTAATGAAAAAAAAAGAAAAAAGAAAAAAGAAGTAATATTGTCCAAAGATATCTTAAAGTGAGAACTTGAACAGCACACTTTTTTGTTGTTGTTGTTGTTGTCATTTGACTAACTCCTCCTGGAATCACCTTTGTGGTTCAGCTGGTACTTTGTACAGAGCAATGAGGTTTCCCCTAGTGGAGTCTTTCCCTGGGCTGTTTGGCTCTCAGTAAGGCAGGCCTATACCTTTTCCTGTCCTCTGTGGAGAGTGCAATATGCAGTAAGCTGAAAAGTCACCTTCCAAAAGTGAGAAAGGGATGAGGTTGCTGCTTCAGGGCTGTGGAATTATTTGGAATGTTTTACAAATGGTTGCTACAAAACAACAAAAACGGTAATTACAAAATGTGTACATCACCACATGCTTTTATTTTTTTATTTTATTTTATTTTTTTTTTGAGACGGAGTCTCGCTCTGTCGCCCAGGCTGGAGTGCAGTGGCCGGATCTCAGCTCACTGCAAGCTCCGCCTCCCGGGTTTACGCCATTCTCCTGCCTCAGCCTCCCGAGTAGCTGGGACTACAGGCGCCCGCCACCTCGCCCGGCTAGTTTTTTGTATTTTTTTTAGTAGAGACGGGGTTTCACCGTGTTAGCCAGGATGGTCTCGATCTTCTGACCTCGTGATCCGCCCGTCTCGGCCTCCCAAAGTGCTGGGATTACAGGCTTGAGCCACCGCGCCCGGCCACCACATGCTTTTAAAGACATTATGCATTGTGCTCACATTCCCTTAAATGTTGTTTCCAAAGGTGCTCAGCCTCTAGTCCAGCTGGAATCTCCGGGAATTGGTAGAGACAGTTTGGCAAAAAAGACACAGGGGAGGAGCAGGAGGCAAAAGGGGAAAGCAGCCTTCCAGTTAAAGATCAGCCCTCAGTTAAAGGTCAGCTTCAGGCAGGCTGGCCTCAGGAAGAGTCAGGGTCAGAGGGAGGAGCAGCAGCAGGGTGGGACTGGGGCATTCTACGTGTTATTCAGGTCAAGCAGAGTCTGGTCCAGCATCCTTTGTGTACAGAGGTGCTCTTCTTTGGTGCATTTCAGTTTATCTTCCAAGTCATCAATTGTCTTTTCCAGCTTGGCTACCGATCTCTCAGCAAACCCAGCACAGGTCTCTGCCTCCTTGAGTTTATCAGTAAGAATCTTGATCTCTTTCTCATATTTGTCTTCTTTTTGAGAGTACTTTTCTTCAGCAGCACTCAGACACTTCAGGTTCTGGTCCCTCCGTCTGATATGCTCATCTATCTCTCGGCAGCGGGACTCTGCCAGCTCAGCTTGTTCCTCTGTGTGTTTCAAGTCTCTTTCAATGATCACCAACTTATGAGCCACCTTTTTATACTTCCTATCTGCCTCTTTTGCAATGTGCTTAGCTTCTTTGAGTTGGATTTCCTGGAGTTCCATCTTTTCTTCATTTTTTAAGGCCGGTTTTCAATAACTTTCATACCTCTCTCACTCTTAGCAGCAGCTTTTTCCGCTTCTTCCAGCTTTTGCAGGGCAGTGGCCAGGTGCTCCTGAGCATGGTCCAGCTTCTCATCAACCAGCTGGATCCTGCAGTTCAAGGAAGCCACCTCAACCTCAGCCTGTTCCCGGGCCCACCTTTCCCCCTCAACTTCTCACTGGAGGCCCTCTGCATCATCTGCCTGCTGCTGCGGAACCTGGATATTGCCCTTAACTGCCTCAATGGTGGTGATCCCAGCCATGGTGCCCACTCAGCTACTGCTCGCGCTCTGGTTCCTGCCTCCTCTACTCAGTGTTGCAGCCTCCTCTCCCTCCCCCATTTATTTACTCACTTATTCATTCATTTGTTTATATCAGTATGGACTCATGGATATTTATTTTATACAGGTTATAATCCAGTACTGCTTTATTTCATTGTTCAAATTTTTCCAGTTTTGGCTCATTGAGAGCTCTACTGGTTGACTTCTGTGTTTCTTTGACATGCTCCCATGATAGTGGGTTTTTCTTTTGAGGATTTCCTTACTTTCTAGCACTACAAGATGTTCTAGGCTCATCTTGTTTATTTCTCGTCCCACCTCTCTCTCTCTCTCTTTATTGATTGATTGATTAATTGAGACAAGTTCTTGCGCTATCACCCAGGCTGGAGTGCAGTGGCACAATCATGGCTTATTGCAGCCTTGACCTCCCAGGCTCAAGCAATCCTTTCATCTCAGCCTCCCGAGTAGCTGGGACCACAGGTGTGTGCCACCATGTCAGACTACTTTTTAATTTTTTGTAGAGATGGAGTCTCCCCATGTTGCCCAGGCTGATCTCAAACTCCTGGGCTCAAGATGCTACTCCCTTGGCCTCCCAAAGTGCTGGGATTACAGGTGCGAGCACTGCTCCTGGCCTCTCTGTTTTTAAAAATAAACTGTTACCTAGACAGGTAAAGCTACTCCTACATCCCTTTCCCCTCATTTTTTCTTTGTTGGTAACCATTGTCCTGAAGTTGGTATTGTTCCCATGTATTTAATGTATTCATCAACAATATATAGTTATTTTGTAAGTTTTAAAAACGTACATGGTAGACTACTGCCCATACCCTTCTGGAGCTTGTTTCTATTATCAAACATTATGTTTATGAGCTCTTCCCATGTTGTAGATATAGTTAATTTAGATGTTATATAGTATTTCATTGCATGAGTATACCATGGCATATCAATTTTACCATAAGTAGATAAATTAACTCTACATGGACCTCTTTACACATATATTTGATTTATCAAAGGACAGTGTTATCAATAGTAATGGATCAACTAGGGAAAGTTTGGAAATTTGTGGGGGACATTTTGTTTTTTAAATTTTTACATATTTCTTTTTTCTTCAGGAAATGCCAGCAGGAGGGATATTTTCAATTATTGATTGGGAGAGCCTTACTGACATTGAGAGAGGGTGAGGACAAAGGATGTGTGATGACCTGTGATGTGTGTGTATGCCTTTCTCCCATATGATTTTTAAATATCCCCGTCAGGTCTTCTTGTACTTAAAAATTCTTTGTATGATGATCTGACTCTAGAACCTCCATTTTGCATGTAAAACTAAAGTATTTTTGGCATGGTTTTAGTATATGCTTTTTTTTTTTTAATTGAAACTACCATGCATGAGGGAAGAGTTTACTTTGTTCAGAACTTTTACCAAGTTCTGAATAAAATAACACACTTGTATCATCCTGCATTTGTAGGTTTTGTATTCATGATGACAGTGTATATAGGGGTGCAAATGTCTATTTGCTTCATTAAATCCTCTACCAAAGTCATGAAAAAATTTGCATTTTTAATGTAATTATATTATTCTAAATAGGGCCAGGACTAAGGTGAGGCAACTGAGGTTGCTTAGGTGCAAAATTTGAGGAGATACAGATGCAAGTGTCCTGCAAGTGGAGGTTCAGCACTTTCACTACTTTGCCTCCTTAAATTTTGCACCCTAAGCACCTTGCTTGCCTCATCTCCATTCTGCCCTGATTATAAGTAATATTTTATTTATTTTTTTCATATTTCAGTTAGGCTAGTGCATTAGTCCATTTTCATACTGCTATGAAGAAATACCCGAGATTGGATAATTTATAAAGAAAAAGAGGTTTCATGCACTCACAGTTACACATGGCTGAGGAGGCTTCATAGTCATGGCAGAAAGTGAAGGAGGAGCAAAGGCATGTCTTACATGGTGGCAGACAAGAGAGGGTGTGCAGGGGAACTGCCCTTTATAAAACCATCAGATCTCATGAAACTTACTCATTATCACAACAGCACGGGAAAAACCCACCCCCATGATTCAATTACCTCCCACCAAGTCCCTCCCATGACACGTGAGGATTATGGGAGCTATAATTAAAGATGAGATTTGGATGGGGACACAGCCAAACCGTATCAGATATTATGGGGGTTTTTTGAAAACAATTTTTTTTTTTTTTTTTTTTTTGAGATAGAGTCTTGCTTTGTCTCCCAGGCTGGAGTGCAGTGACATGATCTTGGCTCACTGCAGCCTCCACCTCCCGGGTTCAAGTGATTCTCCTTCCTCAGTCTCCCGAGTAGCCGGGATTACAGGTGCCTGGCTCCACACCTGGCTAATTTTTGTATTTTTAGTAGAGACAGGGTTTCATCATGTTGGCCAGGCTGGTCTTGAACTCCTGACCTCAAGTGATTTGCCCGCCTTGGCCTTCTAAAGTGCTGGGATTACAGGCATGAGCCACCATGCCCAGCCTTCTTTTTTTTTTTTTTTTTTTTAAATTTATGTGTGTTAGGTAGATTATCTATTACGTTCATTATAGAATAGAAAAAGGGTGTTTCAAATAATTTCCTTTAAAAGGAAATATTAGATCTGATTGGTCTGAGAACCACTGCTTTAGGACACAAACTTGGAAGTGCCCTTTGTTGGACCATATGAGCATCTTCAACTTTATTGGGTGTTGCCAGATTCCTTTACAGAATGGTTGTCTCAGTCAGAGATTGCTGTAGTAATGCTACATTAAAAGAAAGAAGGCCAGGCACGGTGGCTCATGCCTGTAATCCCAGCACTTTGGGAGGCCGAGGTGGGCAGATCACCTGAGGTCAGGAGTTCGAGACCAGCGTGGCCAACATGGTGAAACCCCTTCTCTACTAAAACATACAAAAAAATTTAGCTGGGCGTGGTGGTGGCAGCCTGCAATCTCAGCTACTTGGGAGGCTGAGGGAGAGAATCGCCTGAACCCAGGAGGCGGAGGTTGCAGTGAGCCGAGATCACACCGCTGCATTCTAGCATGGGTGACAGAGCAAGACTCTCTCTCCAGCAACAACAACAACAACAACAGCAACAAACCCCAAAAGACCCCAAGTTCAAAACTCAGTGGCTTAATATAGTAAGGATTTATTTTTCCCTGTCAACCTGTGGATAGGTTGCAACAAAAATTAGCTGGGCAGGATTCTGGACTTCAGGCTCTGGGCTCCAGTCTGCAGGTCGGATTGAGGTTGAGTTCAGGTCTGCTCCAAGTCTCTCATTCTCTTGGACTAACAGCTACCTAGGACATGTTTTTCTCATGGAAAGTGGCAGAAGCAAAAGAAGCCAAGTGGAAATATGTGAAACCTCATGTGGGTCATGCATAGAACTGACTCGCTGTCATTTTTGCTAACATTTCATGGACCCTAGCTTGTCACAAGGTCAAGCCCCACATCCATGAGGTAGGGCAATATATTCTGTTTATTCTAGTGAACGGTACTGCAAAGTTATGTGGCAACGATGTGGATTAGAATTCTAGTACAGGGAGGGTGTGAAGAATTATGAATAATGATTCAGTTTACCACAGGGGTGTGCCATTATATACCTCACCAGTAATAGATGCAAACTCCTGTTTCTGAACATCTTCACTAGTCCTGATGTTACCAAACTTCACATTCTTGCTAGTTTGAGTGTTAAATGACACTGTTATTTTAATTTTCGTTTCCAATTACATAGGTCTTTTAAAATACTATCTATTCATTTTAAAAGATTAGTTTTAGTCTCCACTCTAAAGTCAGTTAGAATAAGGAGGTTTTTGTGATGAAAATAAAAATTTGGAATCTGAGATTGTGATAGTTATAATTAATTACTCGCTTTGGCTACCAACTAATTTGTTTTTCCTTTGCTTATGTAATGTCAGATATTCTGAGGACCATTAAAATGTCTAGACTGTGTTCTCCAAGAGCCCTGTTCTAATGTTCTGATTCTGTGTACATGATGCATTCGTAATTTTATTTCCATGTAATAATCTAATTTTATTGACCCCACTAAGTAAGTAAGGTGTTGGCATTATATTGCAAACTACTCTTGCAAAAGTGTGACTGTACTGCAAAAAATGCAGATGTTGTGGGTTTCAATAAATGGATTTCTGGTACATTCCTCTGGGAAGAATGCTTCCTGTTTATTGGCAGTCCTCTGTTGTGGAGGCAGGTCTTGCTGGAGAGCTGCATTCGGGTGAGAGAGGGGTGGGAAGGAAGAAAGGCACCCACAGAGCTTCTGCCTCGTAAATATAATCTCATTTGTGCTGGCATCAGACAGATCGGTCCAAGAGTGGTAATTTTTTTTTATTTTTTTATTTTTATTTTTTATTTTTATTTTTTTGAGACGGAGTCTCTCTTTGTTGCCCAGACTGGAGTGCCGTGTCCAGATCTCAGCTCACTGCAAGCTCCGCCTCCTGGGTTCATGCCATTCTCCCGCCTCAGCCTCCCGAACAGCTGGGATTATGGGGGCCCACCACACACCCGGCTAATTTTTTGTATTTTTAGTAGAGACGGGGTTTCACCGTGTTAGCCAGGATGGTCTCGATCTCCTGACCTCATGATCTGCCCGCCTCGGCCTCCCAAAGTGCTGGGATTACAGGCGTGAGCCACCACACCCGGCCCATTTTTTTTTTAAATATATTTGTTTATTTTGAGACAAAGTCTCGCTCTTTTGCCAGGCTGGAGTGCAATGGCACGATCTCGGCTCATTGTAACCTCCACCTCCCAGGTTAAAGCGATTCTCCTGCCTCAGCCTCCCAAGTAGCTGGGACTCCAGGCACATGCCACCACGCACAGCTAATTTTTTTGTATTTTTAGTAGAGACAGGGTTTCACCATGTTGGCCAGGATTGTCTCGATCTCTTGACCTCATGATTTGTCCGGCCTTGGCCTCCCAAAGTGTTGGGATTACAGGCGTGAACCACCACGCCTGGCCGAGTGGTGGTATTTTTAAAGAGGCACAGGCCATACCTG